GGCGCCTGACCCGGGGCTCCGGGCAGGCAGTTTGCAATGCTGCCTGGAGTTCCCCGAGAACTGACACTGCTCCTCCTGCAGCCCTCCCGTGGACTCTGCCGTGGCCCCGAGTAACCAGGGCGTTAGCCAGGTGACAGCATCTCCCGCCCGTGGGCCCCGCCTTGCCCCATCTCCTGCTGCAGCACAGACTCAGTCTGCCTGTGGCCTCCGGTCCATGTACTGACCGGGCCAGGCTGGGCTCAGCATGGGCGCTGCGCCCACAGAACAGCGCCCGGCTGGCTTACGCCTGGCTCTGCAATACACGGATTGTGTCTTTGCTCGTGCAGCAAGCACAGGCTGCAGGAGAGTCCCTGCTGCTTTGGGACAGATGCACCTAGAAAGTCCCTTGGGTTCTCCCGATGGGCAGGAATTGCCCCTGGGCCGGACTGCCGTGGGGCAGCAGGAGCTGGTGAGTATCTGTGCCACAGCAGTGCAGAGCACATCAATGTTCCCTCTCTCTTTGCCATCCATGTGCGGAATAAAAATGTCAGTGTGCACCAGGGCATGTGATATGTGCACCACCCTTAGAAACAAAAAACCCAGCTGTAGGCTGCTGGGTGCTCTACCAATCTCTCCTGAGTGGCCACACAGGGACCTAGCTTCCAGGAAACACCGGTGCCCAAGCTGCTCTTTGGGGGAGGGGGTAGCAGCATCTGGAGCTGGTTGCAGGTGGTTACCTGGCTGTCCGCCGGGAGGTCGCCCTCCTCCAGTTCTTGGATGGAGCTCTGCAGTAGCTTGGAGGCCTGCTGGAGATCTGCCACGAAGGGATGCAGCTTCTGCAGGGAAGGACACACAAGTGGGTTGGGCTGACCAGGGTGGGAGGGCTGGCGGGTGGGTGGCAAGCTAGGCCTAGAGGGGGACAAGGCTTAGAGTGTCCGGCCGTGCAGGGACTCTAGTTTCATGGCTGATGGGGAAGGAAGCCGGTGAAACAGGCGCGGGGGGTGGGGAGGTTAATTACAGAGAGACACTGGAGAGCAGGGCTACTCAACACACAGGCTGCATGGGGCCCGTGGCCCGCAATGCGGTTTGGGTTTACACGGGGCTCGACACGCGGCCCGCAGGGGGAGCCAAAACAAAACAGTCGTCAATAGACTGGTCCCCTGTCGAGATGCGGTTTAGTCCTTAAACCCCTGGACTGGCATTGCTCACTCAGAGCGCTGTCCGGTGGCTGGAAATCCGCTAACGATTGCACTTAACTGGTGCCTGCGTGCTGTGTGGTCTCGCTTAAACTTTGAGTTCATGCCCGTCAGTGTGAAAGAATCTATTTGCATATATTTGCATGTACATGCAACCACACTTAAGTTGTGGCCCTCGGCATGTGCTGTGAGTATCACGGTGGCTCCTGGGGCTTCCACACTGGAGTAGCCCTGACATGGCTGGGCCGTCTTGTAGACTTCTTGAATGTGTGTGTAATACATGAGAAAACCCAGCCACGGAGCACCCCATGGGAACCCTCTCTCTCTCTCTCTCACACACACACACACCCACACACACACACACACACACACACACACACAATGGTGTACATTTTTAGGATACACCAAACCACTGAGATTCTTCTTATGCTGCAGCCACTGGGCACAACTTGCATTCAGACTCCCTCCACTGCATCTCCTGTGTTACTCACGCCCCAGGGCTTTCCAGGGGTCTCCAGTGAGAACTGAGCCTACCGGGATACAGGCCCCGATGTGGAGGGAAAGGGCCACGCAGCACATGCACGGAGCAAGCCACAGCTATGCACGGAGCACACTCATGCAGCAAACCACGGCCACGCACAGAGCACACGCACAGAGCAAGCCACGGCCATACACGGAGCACACACACGCAGCACAACACGGACACGCACG